GTGGTTGGCTACGTTAGACAGATCAATACACGAGCACCACAACCTCCATTTCAAAACTGATCCACACACTTACCGATACACATACATTTACATAATAATCAAAAGGGGAAAAGGAAAATAATGTATATTGCAAAGGTGGGAAAAATTCAACAAAAAATCTGTAGACATGTGAAACTTTCCATAGAGAAAAATGTAACTGGACAAACATTACATATACAATTTTAACAGACAAGAAATGCAAGGTTTAAATTATAAAATAAAAATTCATTTGTGTTAGGTCTAATTAATATTCGTAAACAAACCTCCAGTATATACAGGGTGTGACAAACTTTTCCAGTAGATTCTATATTCGAAATGGAACCAAAAAGTACTAATTAACTATAGCCCGATTCTCAATAGTTTCGGAGTTATTCAACTTTTTCTGATTTTTGAAGGTTTCACGACCTTGCTTCAAATAAACAATGATAACTCCAAAACTAAAAGATTTTTGGCAAATCCGTTGTTACCATTGAAAACTAAGTTAAATTTCCAATAAGATGTGATCAATACTAAACTTGTGAACTTTGGTGAAATAAGCGTTTTAGTATCCAGAACATTGAAAAATAATTATTTTTTCAATGTTGAAAATCTTATTAAGATGATTCTAAACTACTATTTCCAAACCTAAAAACCATCAAGTTACAGAAAATGTACTTCATTTAAATTCTTTTTAGTCGTGTAATTGCTTTGTAATTATTTTTTCAAAGAGGAAGAAATTGATGAAGGAAAGGAACGAACCTTGGTAAGGTGGAAAGATTAATAATACTAAAAAATAAAAAAAAACTTAAGGAAATTTTGAATGAATGAACTACGTTTTGAATTTTAAAACTCTTTTGTTCCGGGGAATAATGATACAATAATCCTTTAATAAAAGTTACAATCAAATAAGTAAACAATTGCACTATTTCGGTTTCGACCCAAATTAAAAAACATTTAATATATTCATTCAAAATTTCCTGATGTTTTTCATTTTTTTTATTCTTTCCACCTTACCAATCCGTCAACCACGGTTTTTACCTTTCCTTCAACAATTTCNTGAATTGAAAAAAGAAAGAATTATTTTGCTTATTTCACCAACGTTTACCAGTTATTGGAAATTTAACGTAGTTTTCAATGGTATCAACGGATTTCTTTAAAACCTTTCTGATTTGGAGGTATATTGTTTAGTTGAAATAACGTTGTGAAATATTAAAAAAATCAGAAAAAGGCTAATAACTCCGAAACTGTTGAGATTCTGACCACAGTTAATTAAGACCTTTTGGTTCTATTTTAAATGTAAAATCTACTGGCAAAGTTTGTAACACGAGTAGCGGAACACCCTGTATAAAAAACAAATCATTAATTTCAGATTAATTAACCACATTGCCATTATTTTGTAAAAACGACATTTCATTGATCTCTTTCTCCATCACTCTCTTTCTTTCACCACTATGTCACTTTCTTTCTCTTTTTTTCTTCCTTTCACTTTGAATCTTTTTTTGTTTTAAAACTATCATGTAGCGACCAATAGTTTTATTTTCTTTTGCCCTCATTCTATTTTTTCTATACTTTCATTTATGTCTCTATATTTAGCCCTTTTCTCTTTCTTCAACTCTTTATTTGTAAATCTATTGACTTATCTGTGCATATATATTTTGCCTTGTCTTTCACTCTTAATTTGTTCAAACATGTCTCATTCTATTTTACACCCTTTCTCCCTCTCATGTTTACCCTTATTATTTACAAAACTATTTATCTGTCGACCTATAGTTTTCTTCTTTTTGCGCTAATCTCTATTTTCAATCCCGCCGTCTCTCATTTTCTCTCTCACTCTTTCTCCGTCTTTCACTTTATCACTTCATTTATTTTAATTATTTTATTCTATTTGTCTATATATTTATGTGATGAATGATATGTTGTATTTGTTTGTCCATTAATCTTTATTCCCTACTCCTGCCTCATTCAAATTCTCCATCTTTATATTTATTCTTTTTTAATTATTTCTTTTTCTTTCTTCCTCACCTATTTCTCCCTCTCTCTCTAATTTTACATATCTTCTTCTCATTATGAAAAATGAAAATGAAATTATAACATTTCAGAGTTTGAAGGTAATTATTATTGGGAATCATTTCGGTTTAGCACTGTACTTAACCCAGATTCATTTTTGATTTATGCTGTATTATGTTTTCAAATTGCCAATTTTTTTTTCGGGGTGATTAGTGACTCTTTCTTCCAGTACGATCTGAAAGATGTGATTATGGATATATTGTGGATTTCCCGGGTTGAGATAGTGATGCCTCCTTTTCAATGTGGTCACATAGGACATGCTTCGATGTCTCTGCTGTTTCATGTCATAGTGGGCACGTTGCTATCTTAAAACATCCAGTTTTTAAAATGGTAATTAATTGGGCAGTAGCGTAATATTTTCTTTATTTCTTGCGTGCCGGAAGCAAGGTACAATTTGGTTTTTCTGGTTGAGAAGTGAAATCTTTTTGATTGTTTTGCCCCCTGGTGAATTCGTCAAGTGGGTTATTGTTTCGTTTTCCTGGCCCAAAGGGTGTGCGTTTTTGCTAGTTGTACGTCTGTCCACCCTGGCATCACAGTTCCCTACTTTCGTTTTCCCAAAAGTTCGAAATATCTTTGGCATTCTCAGACCTTCTTTGAGTTAGACATCTGAAGTCATCTGTGGAGAAAAAACGGAATTCAATTTTTTTTTAAACAAATGTTGTGAGCTACTTTATTAGGTTCACTAGTTTTCGTAGTCCGCTTGACCAATTAATATATTACAATTAATTAAGGTTTTTAGTTGAGATAAAAAAGTTAGTGTCACGAGCGGGATTCGAACCCACGACCTTCGGCTACATACGCCGTTACTTTACCACTTGAGTTATCGTGACCTCGAATCCTGCTCGTGACAATGATTTTTTTAATCTCAACTAAAAACCTTAATTAATTGAAAGATTTTAATTGGTCAAGTGGACCACGAAAACTAATGAATTTAATAAGTTAAAATGAAGTATACCTTCACTATAGCTCTCTGTAGCCATTTCATTTGTCGCCGAGAATCAAATAGATTACACGACATTTGAAAAATGGCAAAAAGGAGGGAAAATTCAAAAGGTGGGGTTGAGATAGGAAGTTAGTGTGCGAGTGGATCGAAGACACGATAGCTCAAGTGGTAGAGTAGCGGCGTATCTAACCGAAGATCATGGGTTCGAATCCCGCTCTTGACACTGACTTTTTTATCTCAGCTAAAAACCTTTATTAATTGAAATTTATTAATAGGCCATTTTATATATTTTAATCTCACTTAACGTAATCCTGCACATTATTTTCTTATCTTACTTAATGAAACAAATCTATTAAAATATAAATCATCTTGAAACTCATATAAAAAAAGCAGAAAATAGTTTAATCTTTTGATAACAATTACATTTTGGATGTGGAAAAGTGAATTTATACAATGCAATATATATTTTTTATATATTCAATCAAAGTATTTCTATAAGACTATAATAAACTGCAAATGTGTGGTGAATAGTGACCGTTAATCGATAATTATTCAGAAATCGTGAGATGCGGTCTGGTGTGATGTAGGTTTCAGAAAAACATTTTTTTATCGTACCAACGTTTCTATCTTTATTGAGATCTCTTGTGGGCACTCTCAACACGACACGCAAGAATGGCACAATTACACAGAAGACAAACACTTTGAGCCCTGAAGATGATCTCAATAAAGGTCGAAACGTTGGCACGATAAAGAAAATGTTTTTCTGAAACCTACATCACACCAGACCGCATCTCACGATTTCTGAATAATTAAGTTTAATCTTTTTTTTTCTTTTTTTTTTTAAATTGCTTGAAATTTTTTTTTGTCATAACATTATATGTTTATGTAGTATCATTAATAAAAAATACATTATATATTTATGCTTACCTTTGTTTTTTATTCAGTTTAGGCCATTTGTCGAACACATAATCTAAAATTATATCGAGAAACTGTATGAAACCTAACTGAGTATGGCGAGTTATGAGTACAAAACCAGCGAGAATTGGCGGACCAGATTCGTTAGAGACGATCAAGCTGAAATTTTCTTCAGTTTAGACTAGTATAACATTGTAGTTAAAATCATGTCATGTAGATCGTGTTTATTAGGACAAAATAATGATTTAAACGAAAGAGAAAAAAAAAGAATTCCTTTCCAAGTTTTATTTGGAACTACATAACATTTATACAGTACATTACAAAGTCAATTAAAACAAATAACGGTCCGCTCGTGTTTGAACGGCGTAAACAATTAGGTTAATTTTCTTGAGTAAAATTATAAGAATAATTTACAGTCTTATTGACGCCAGTCAAGCACGGTCGGGTCTCAACATTTACAACATATACTTAGCCCTAAAAGATAATACTGCATACACTAGGCAGAACACTATTTGTATTTTTTTCCTCCATTTTCCCTCTTATTTACAAAACCAGGTAACACGTATCTAAAAGTAAGCGGTAGAAAATAAAATCACATCTTTATCGATATTATTATTTACAATTGGTATAAATACTGTCTTGACTAGGACCGTTTAGGGCGGTGACTATAGTAGAAATAACCTTACGATGTATATTTATTTTTATTTAATTATTCTTTTTTTTAAATATTTTTTTTAAAATTATTTTTTGTCTTGTGAAAATGTTTACCGACTTAGAACGATTCGCTCCGGAAAATAGAACCTCCATTGTCACTACGAGGACGGCGCAAGAAATACAACACTCACGACACGACGGTTATTCGTTACTGCCGCTTGGAACCCCGTTTTTTAAACCGTAAAAGTTTCTGAAATATTTAACAAAAATTAAAAAAAAATTCATATCGAGCAACAAGTTGCAAGAAAAATCTCAACAAATAAATACCAACAAAATAAACATATTTTAACAATTGACCATTTGGACCAAGAAATTGGCCTACCAAACTGAACCGTAAAAATACCAACAAAATAAACATTATTTAAATAGAACAACACAATACTTATCATTTTAACCGGATTATTTTTATTTTTGTAAATTATTGAATTGAAACAATTTAGAAATAAATAAAACACGTCTAGATAAAAAGGAAGTTATTTTACTTACACAGTTAATAATACGTTCATAAACTGTAGGAGCAAGCAGTCGGTGTTTTTTTTTTTTTTTTTTTTTTAATAGGAAGATTTATACCGTAAGTACAAAACACAAAAAAAAGATTGCACAATATTATTTTGTTTACTTCAAAAATTGACCGTCCATAGAGAGGAAACGGCAATTTCGAGGATTGTCTGAGGACTAGATGAGACGTGACTAGGCTGTTGACGCACGGTTTTTGTTTTTCAATCATTTTCATCCAGAATCCGTTCTCGTTTTGAGCGGACTGGCACCCCACAGCCACACATTTGTACTTAGTCATCTGTGAGTTCTGGTAGGATGTACCTGTGGGTCTGTCATGCGTAGTGCGGGTACGTACCGAGGGCACCTGGATGGCCCATGCCGTGCCCTATGTTCGAGTAGAGATTGGCGCTTGGGTTGCTCCAATACGATCCTGCCGATGGAAATATACTAGCTGTAAAAAAAAAAAAAAATCCATCAGTGTTTTTGATATAGAAAAATATAATTATTTTTCATTTGCACAAAGAAATTTGAATTTTAAATGGCGCAGGCCGAAACGCGTTTAGAATGACATTAATTAACACCTGGCACACTCGCTCGTTAAGTCCAAAATGCTAAATTTCGAAAATTCGAACCCACAACCATTTGTCGCCGAGAATCAAATAGATTACACGACATTTGAAAACTAGCAAAAAAGGAGGGAAAATTCAAAAGGTGGGGTTGAGATGGGAAGTTAGTGACCGAGTGGATCGAAGTCACGATAGCTCAAGTGGTGGAGCAGCGGCGTACCAAGCCGAAGATCGTGGGTTCGAATCCCGCTCGTGCCATTAACTTTTTTTCGTCTCAACTAAAAACCTTAATTAACTTATGCCAATGTTATGATTTTCTATACTCTTCACTGAAACCTTTTCTAATTCTGAAATTTGCTTTAAAGCTTGTCCCCAACGCGTTACTTACTGAAAATTTATGGACAATTATGGCGCCACCTGAATGCATAGTTACGATGAGTGGCCCCAGGGAGTCAATCGTAGAAAGGTCATCCTAACCAGATTGAAAAATCGGCCGTATTTGGTTGACACACTTTTGGGTCCAAGCGTGTCCAGCATGTAGAGAAAGGTCGATGTGTCCCACTCAATTAAAGGCGTCATTTGCGAAAATGTATTTATAAGCGTGAATGTTTTTGTGCAGAGCAGGAGCACCGATGGCGGAATATTATGTATCCGTTCGACCCTCAACTAGACTCTTTTGTGCATGGTTAAAGAGTGTTCATCACGTAAAGAAAGGATGATTAATGTTTTCTATTTAATTGAAGGGTGTGATTCCTTGGCTCCAGAGATAAAAACTCCACGATGTAGGAAGTGTGCATGAAAGAGTATATGGGTTCTCTTTTCCATTTTTGGATGAAACAAGGCTGTCTTATTGTATACAGCTGACATATATCTCGGAATGTGAACGAATGTATTTATTAGTGTGAATGTGCAGTGTGGTATGGGCAGTTGGGGAATATTGAGAATTTTAGAAACTCATCGATCTCCAATTAAATTAGATGTATAATGTGCGTGAAGTTCCAACTTTAGTTGAGAGAGGAATGAGACCTGTTTTCAGCCCTTACTCTAACATAGGTGGCAGATTTGATCCTGGTCTGCCAAAACACGAAGTGGGCAAAGTCTCATTTTTTTTAACGAGGGTTCGCAACACCTGAGGTCTTATAAACCCTCAGGGCGCCGGTGTTTTTGAAAAAAAAAGCCCATTTGTAAGTATGTTCCACATCCAAAATGTAATTGTTAAATGTAAACAATGTTTGTAAATCCCAGGCCCTGAAGATGCTCTCAACAAAGATCGAAACGTTGGCACGATAAAGAAAATGTTTTTCTGAAACCTACATCACACCAGACCGCATCTCACGATTTCTAAATAAATATCGATTAATGGTCACTAATCACCACACATTTGCAGTTTATTATAGTCTTATAGAAATACTTTGATTGAATATATAAAAAATATATTTTGCATTGTATAAATTCACTTTTCCACATATAAAATGTAATTGTTATATGTAAACAATGTTTGTAAATCCCAGGCCCTGAAGATGCTCTCAATAAAGATCGAAACGTTGGCACGATAAAGAAAATGTTTTTCTGAAACCTACATCACACCAGACCGCATCTCACGATTTCTAAATAAATAAACTGCAAAGTCAAAAACTAGCGATTCTCAATATAAAAGGTGAATGTATTTTAGTACCCCATCAATTTTCTACCATTACATTTATGAACAAAAGGTAGCTTAAGAGGTGCCAACAGACTCTTGAGAAGCAAGAAAATAAAGCGAGATCTAAAGAGAAGCTAATAAATAAGAGGGAATTAAAATAAATGAGATGTCTGTAATAATACCTAACAAAATGAGAGGAAGACTCTACTGTGACACTGTTTCAAATAGTCTTATAGACAACAAAGATCTTCGAGTCTGGGGCGTCGGTGGCCGCAACCGTTTAGGCGTTGACACGGCGCTCATCACTGTAAGGTAAAGGTCCCAGGTTCGAATCCAGCGGCCCTGTATTCGAACCCGACACACTTACAAATGGTTTTTTTTCTAAAACATCGGCACCCCGAGGGTTCATATAACCTCGTAGTTGAAATACCCTCGTTAAAAAAAGATCTTTGAAAGAAAGGCAGACTCAACTTTCAGAAAGTAGCCTTAATATGGTAAGATCAAAGATAGAACAAGGTGTAGATGTAGAAGTAAAAGCGCTCAAACCTGAGGTTCATGCAACCCAACTCTGGAGTTAATAAAAAAATATGAAAGGACAATGTAGAGTTCAATATATTCTTTAAGGTCTTTACTAGGTGAAAGAAGGACAAAAGTGTTGGAATCACCAAGCTTTCGGCAACATTATGTTGCCATCATCAGGGCCTATTTATTAAAAAAATATACATAATTAATATACATTTTAACAATCAACAATCAAAAACATCAGTGCATACTTTCCCAAGAAAGAAGAGTTAAAAATTTTCTCATCGGAAAAAACTAATGCAATGGTTTAGGTTATTTCTACTTTTCCACATCCAAAATATAATTGTTATATGTAAACAATGTTTGTAAATCCCAGGCCCTGAAGATGATCTCAATAAAGATCGAAACGTTGGCACGATAAACGAAAGCTTGTTTAAAATTATATATACAAAAGGAGAGGCCTTAAATTCTAGTTATTAACGTAGTACTCTGTGATAATATATGATTTTAATGACAACAATAGCTAGTAAGAACAAATACAGTGTGAATTATTAGTGAGGTAATTTATTTTATATAAAATCATTAGTCAATCATTAATGTTGTAATTACTCATTAATTTACTTTACATAGATGGCTTGTTCACCATACATAACCGAATGCTGGCCATGTGCTTCATAACCTTGCATTATGCATTATTCATTGCATTAGTTTTTTCTGATGAGAAAAATTTTTTTTCTTCTTTCTTGGGAAAGTATGCACTGATGTTTTTGATCGTTGATTGTTAAAATGTATATTAATTATGTATATTTTCTTAATAAATAAGCCCTGATGATGGCAACATAATGTTGCCGAAAGCTTGGTGATTCCAACACTTTTGTCTTTCTTTCACCTAGTAAAGACCTTAAAGAAGATATTGAACTCTACATTGATTATCTGCAGGTCGATCTACAAACATCATTTCTTCAATATGAAAGGACCACAGATTTACATAATTTCAGACACAGCAGACCTCCCATTTCATCCTCAAACTACCACCCTAACCTTTTCAGACGATACAGCGATCCTTTCAAGCACATCTGATCCAGTCATTTCCACTCGATACCTTCAAGAACACCTCACACTACCGGAATCATGGTATAAAGAAAAGACTAAAATTGAACCCAAAATAATCCACCTACATAACCTTCACACTTCGCAAGAGATCTCTCGTCCAGCCTACTTCAATCAAATACCCCTCCCAATTACGGACAAGGTGAGCTACCTAGGACCTTACATTGACAAAGTCTGACGTCGAATCCCCACACACGACTGAAACGACAAGTAGTTATGAAACGTTACAGAGCACTTTCACGACTTCTTGACAGACGTTCGAACCTACCTCTTTTAAACAAAAGACTACTTTACATCACCCTAGTGAAACCGATATGGACTTATGAACTCGAAGTATGGGGTTCAGCCAAACATTCCAATATCCTACGCATTTAAAGAGCCCAATCCGTAATCCTCGGAAAAATCCTTAATGCTCCCTTTTATGTGTCCAACGATAACCCATACAGACCTAAATATTCCTTTAGTCCAAGATGTAATCTGCTCCCGTTACCGAAAATTTTACACAAACCTCCCAACGATATAAATCCTCAAATTCAAATCCTCTCATCCCGACGAATTCCTTCCTCAGACGATGGCCACGGAATCTTTTATCCAGTGACATCAATTGAATAAATTATACTTAGGAGTACTACCAGTCGGTAGTTTCTCCACTCTTGTTTACTTATTTAAACAATAAATATTTCAAAAACAACAAAAAAAAAATTGGTTCTGTGTACAGGAGTTAACTCACCTGAGGAAGGATTAAAATAAATCTGAAACGTTGTGGATAAAAACTGGTTGTGGTTTTTTTGAGATGACCTGTTATCCCACCTCCAAGAATGAAAAATCATAAGATTTATTTATTTACTTATTCATACACTATTACTACATACCAAAATGAAGGTAGTTGTAATATACAATAAAAGCAATAAAAAAAATCGGACAGCCAGGTAGTATTAAGCTCCAAAGCAGAATGCCTAAATTGCCTACTGGCCCCAGAAAAACACAAAAAAGTTACTTTAAAGTGAGTGAGCTGACAAACTAGACAAAACGTAGGCAGTTCTCTCACCTAAGAGCGAGGGAGATCTTCCAGCAAGTATAACTTGAAAAATGGCTGGAGAAAGAAAAAACCCATTGGGCAAAAGCACCAGGTATGAGCTGATTTATAAATCTCTCAGGACCAAACATTGCTCTCTTGGCTCCCACCATTTTGTTTGTTTTAAACTTTTTTACTTGTGTATCAATTGCTTAAATATATCATGTCGTAATCTATTTTCTGCGTTATTGTTCTTGATTTATCAAATAGAGGACAAATAAAAAATTTAAAGGTGAAAGAGTTGGTTTCCTCAATGATAAACATCAACCTTTGCATGCACTAAAAAACTTTTTACAGTCTTCAGTGATAATTGATTTATTTGTCAAGTTTCAAAGAGGATCTGTGCTTTTTTATAATAAAATTTTAGTGTTTTTGTAAGATTTTTAAAAATATTGATCCACTAGGGAAACAAGGGGAGTGACTGTCGGTCGACCTTGCATGATCGAGTCAGCGATTTAAGAAAATCTTTGCTGTAGAAAAAAAATCCCCTCGATGATGACCAGTGTACATAAAGGGGACACTAGCCGACGGCCGTA